AATCAGCCCCTGCAACTACATAGGCACCTGCACCAGCCCCACAGTTTAGGGCACGCACAACACCAGCTCCAGCCATCCCTGGTCTTAGGTGCTAGACCTGGAGGTCCTGCTGAGGGCCCCAATGGCCCTTACAGCTACTGCAGAACACTTCAGTGTTCAACAAGGACCACACAGCTGTTGATGTTGTGGACCCAGCAGAGTGAGCCAAAAAGACATCATTCCTTCCTGGACCTGGTGCTGCCACACCCCTGACACTTGGCCCCTTGCACCACTAGACCTGGGATTATAGCATGCCAGCATGCCCTCACCCATGGGTAAAAGGCATCTCTTACCAAAATCAGGCCACAAAGGCTGAAAGACATGACTGCTTCCTCAAATGAACAGACACCTATGCAAGGCTACAGAAATCATGAAGAATGGGGGAAATATGCCTTCTACCAAAGGAATATGGTAAATGTCCAGTAACTGGCCCAAAAGAAATGGAGATTCAGGAACTGCCTGACAAAGAATTCACAATAAAGATACTTAGAGAGATAAAAGAGAACACAGATAATAGTTTAATGACATGAGAAAATTTATACAAGAACAAATGAGAAGTTTAACAGATCTAGAAAAGCAAAAAGACCCAAACAGAAGTTTTGGAGCTTAAGAATACTGTGGTTGAACTGAAGAATTCAATTGAGAGTTTGAATAGCAGATCTGAGCAACAAAAGAATGAATTGGTGAGCTTAAAGACAGATCAACTGAAATGACCCAATCAGAGGAGCAAAAACAAAAAAGGAATGAAAAGGATCAAAGAAAGCCTATGGGATGCCATTAAGAAAAACAAGGCACACATCACTGGAGTCCCAGAAGAGAGAGAAAGAAAGAGTGGAAAGCTTATTTAAAGAAATATGGTGAAAAATTTCCCAAATCTGGAAAGAGATTTGGATATCCAAGTCTATGAAGCTAATAGGTCACTCCAAAATTTCAATTTAAAACAATCTTCTCTGAGACCCATTGTAATAGAACTGCCTGAAATCAAAGAGAATTTTAAAAGCAGCAATGGGAAAAAAATTTCTCTCAAATAAGGGAACCCCTGTTGCAGGAACCACAAGAACTACAAATAAAAAGTTGGGACACCGAGATGTTGGGCAAGAAACAGCAGCCATTAGTGCTGGCACTGGCTCACCGGATTGTTATCCAAAGGCTGAGCCCTGAGCACAGCAGGACTATGCCTTTTATACATTTACCACAAGGTTAGGGGGGAGTCAGCACCCAGGAACCCTTGCAGTGGGAGCTATTAGGTTACTATAGGGTATTCAGGATAATAGTTATATTTTAATCTATCTCTGTAAAGGTTACCCAGATACCATATTATCAACTAATGGGCTTCCATGACTATTATCAACAAGCTGTCCCATACCACTGAGTCCTGGTAGGATTGGTGGAGGAGGGAGGGGTACATTGTTACATTGTTTCAATCTCAAGCACCCAAGTGCCTGTGATTCCTCTACATTCCTGAAGCCTCAACAGAAACTTTGTCTCCTTGGCTTCCTTGGCTTTTTACCACACCCCTACAAGGCTATCAGTGGGTTTCTCAGCAGAAACCTTGCAGGCTAGGAGAGAATGGGAATCTATATTCATTCTGTTAGGCATGAAAATAGGTATGAGTGGGGTAGAAAGGGAATAAGGCCAGGAAAGTCCACTAAAAAAGACCCAGATTTAATGAGTTAATCAGTTAAAGCTCAAAAAGCCAAGAGTAACTTGGCCTGGAATGTTTGCATATTCCCCAGATAAAGGAGGATACCTCAACATAGCCCATGTCTTTATTGTGTTACTCATGCCGGCCCAGCTTATTTTTTAACTTTACTTATATGCTGTTTTTTCTCTCCTTCAGCTCTAATCAAGTAATTTGAAACCTGGGAAACTAATTTAGCAAGTAGGCCCAGCTATAAACAACAGAGTAAAAGGCAGAAAGGATTCCACCTTAAAGATGAGATTGCACTTTAAAACCCAGAAAGTTAAGAAGTTAAGATTCTTAACTTACTCTTTAGCCAACAGACAATAACTCAGCCCACCTTGGGTGCTGGGCAGCCAATCTTAATTGATATGCTCCCAAACCAGGAAGCTGCCATCCTGGGAGGGGACAAAAGCAGTAAATTTCTCACGGTAATTTTGTAGAATTTCCCAGAGGACTGATAAGAAACTTAATGTCTCATCAAAGATAAACATCTTGAGACCACTTAACAAGGCTGCACTCTCAGCCCTTGGTTACATTCCTGAAAAATTCTTAAAAGGGGGAACCCCCAACCTTTCAGTGCACACCTCTCTCTGGGGTCACTTGCACTTTGTAAGCGCATAGACTTTCTCTCTTTTAATAAAACTTAAACCTTTCAAGGTGCTTCTCCTCCCTGAGGTCAACTGCTGCACTTTTTCTCTCTTTAAGTAACTTTAAATAAAAATTTTACTCTGCTTCACTACTGTGTCTCTGCCTGTCAAATCTTTGTCATGGAGGGGACAAGAACCGAGGAAAATACACAACGCTCTTCCTAACAATTCTGAAAGAAAGAAGCTCCAGCCAAGAATACTTTATCCAGCAAAGTTGTCCTTCAGAAATAAAGGAGAAATAAAAACTTTCCTAGAGAAACAAAGGCAAGGGAACTTTCTTTATTAAGGCATGAATATTTGTGTTTTTAGGAATTAACTCACTTTTTAGGTTATACCTTTTAAAATTCTGGAAACCTCAATACTGTGCAAATGTTATTTTTAAATCCTGTGGTTTTCCTTGTGCCTAAGAATAAATGTTAAGTACATTCTATTGTTTTATTTCACAATAATGTTTTAAATATTTTCCCAAAACTCTCAATTTCTCAACTTAACTACAACTTATTTTAGAATTGCACTTTATTCTAAAATAAAAGTTTGTATTTTTTTAAAAAAAAAGAACCATCACATGTTGAAAAATGTAGCTGAGAAATATTGATTGGTGTCAAAATGAGAATCACAGGTTTTCATGCATGCCTGACAACCTATAATGGAAGATGAACCAAAAGACCATTTGTCTTAAAGCCTACAGTCTCCTGTGAGATAACTCATATTGAGAGAAAAGACGCAGGACATGAGTTTGACTCAGTAAGGAAGTTCATGTGGTTGGATCACAGAGTGATTTTGAGAAGAACATTGACGTGGAATTTCAACTGGATTCCATGGCACAGCCCCCACTGGACGCAAGGTTTCAGTTTCTAAACCTGAATCATTGTTTTAATAAAACTCAGCTCAACATTGGGGGAAAGTATCATTAGCTTGAGAGCCCTTCAACCTGCAACTCAAATAGTAAAGAAGAATTCTCTCCCAATTCCAGGGATTTTTTCTTTTTTTTTTTTTTCCCCCACTGGACGCAAGGTTTCAGTTTCTAAACCTGAATCATTGTTTTAATAAAACTCAGCTCAACATTGGGGGAAAGTATCATTAGCTTGAGAGCCCTTCAACCTGCAACTCAAATAGTAAAGAAGAATTCTCTCCCAATTCCAGGGATTTTTTCTTTTTTTTTTTTTCCTACTCTTGTGTTCCTGGGTTATTTTTTATTTTTATTTTGTTGTTGTTTGCTTTGTCCTGTTTTATTTGTGTAACTGTTAATGTAATATGTCTCCACATTTCTAAAAATGGAAGAGCTGAATGAGATTTTCCTTTCTTTCTGGCTGTATGAAAGTTTAAAAACCTAAAATGTCAACAGTGGAAACCAAAGTTTTCTTCTACAGTCCCAGTTTGCCTAACATCAGAGTGAGATCAGCGGGTGCCAAAGAACACGCGGCTCTGCAGTGTTACACAAATGCTTCCACTGCTCTCCTAAAGTAGGTCAGGTGGGTTCTGCTGAGCACGTCATACAAGCAAGGTTGAGATTAGTCCAGATAAGAACTGCAGGCTTCCAGCATCACCTTCCGGCCAGCCCAGAGTGGGTGAGGCTGAGACTGTGGGCTGTTACTTTCTCACAGACTCATCTTTCCTGTTTTAGCTTCAGCTCCCTCACCAACCACATTTCCCACAGTCTGAATTGGTGTGGCTGCTGTTAGCTCAGTTCTGCAGAGTTGATGTAAAATTAAAGTATCATTTTACATTATGTCACATTTTTTTTTCTGAAATTCTAACACATTCTTTACTTAAAATGACAATAAGCTTATCCTCCTGGCCTGCTTAACTATTAGTAAGCTAAGGAATTGCTCACATTGCCACATAGTCGATTGAACTAGGACATTTAGTCCATGCCAATAACTAGTCTGCGACTCATTTTAGTTATTGCAGATGAGTTAATTACCAGGTATCCATCTAATTAATCTCTCAGCAATTAACTACTGATTACAACCCAAAATAAAATTTTTGTTTACGTCTGTTTAGTCAAGCCTAAACATGGAAGATTTATTTTCTTCCAATCAACGTTCTCAGCCATCACTAAAAATAGAAAATGTTCTAAAATTTTTTGACACTTTATTGAAAAATACGTAGCACTACATTTTCAACCAAAGGACAGTGATCGCTGAGCCCTAGAATGTGACTACAGAAACTTGTAATGTTTTCTGCAGACTCCATGTCTTTCTACCAATCAAAGAAAGTTAGAAACCAGGCAAAAAAGAAAGAGATGTCTTTATGGTCCTCATTACCTGAGGATGAAGAGCAGGCTTTTTATGGGCTGTATGCACATAACTTCAGGTTGCATCTAATACCTGGAAGTTAAGGGATTGGTAATTGTAAGTTGTGTGTGAGGGAGTAGGAAGGGCCAGATGGTATTGAGACATCCCAGACAACGTTCCATGCCACTCTGTGTTCTTTCATTCTTATTAACCAACCTTGTCCAATTTGCTTTGGAATTTGGGAAAGGAATTACTGCTGGAAAATATTTAAGAGTTTTTAAACCTACAGATTCTTCTGACTTTAGAATTAGTTATTATATTGCCAGGAAACCATAAATGTAGATGTTGGACCATGTCAAAAATCTTGTCAAGAGAATGGATTGTTTCACACAGAATGGAGATGTGGCTTCTGATTCTCGTGGCATATTTGTTCCAAAGAAATGTGAATTCTGGATGTATGCCAACTAAAGCTGCGGACCCAGAAGCATTCATGAATATTGTAAGTTGGGATTGTTCAAGTTTGGGGGAAAGTGAAGTGCCTTACCTGTTAATGTTTGCATCTCTGTATTGTCTGCATGATCTATCCTATTTATACACGGTGGTGATTTTTTGTAGCAGAGCAGTCAGAAATTAGCATATTGTACTGGAAAGAATGCAAAACTGTGTGAGGAGAGCTGGGTTCTCCTCAAACAAATTCACTAAACTTGGGCAAATGATTTAAGCCTTTTGGGATTCAAACACAATTTACCTTTTTCTTGAATTCTTAGGTGCATTCTGTGAACAGGGAAATCACTAGGACACATCCAAACTCTTGATTATTTCCATTTTGTCTGTACTTTCTACTCTTCTTCTACTTCCTCCCATATTGGAAAGTTGATAGCCCTTGCTTCTTCCTATTGGGACTCCCACTTCTGGTAGTATTCTGTATTTTCTTAATCTATCTTTTCCTGTTTTGGACTGATAACTCGTTGACAGGCAATAAAAGGGCCCTAGTGAATAAAAGACCCTAGAGAGGGCTTCTCATGAGTAAAATTCATGAATGAGGTTACATCTCTTTTGGTATCCCAGAGAGCTTTTTTCACTTGCAGATTTTTGATTGAGTTTTAGCAATGTCCTGTCTGTGGTAACACATCCCATAGTGGACATTGTGATGCAAGCTATGGAAATACTCTTTCATTCTATCTTCACTGCTCTGTGCAATAGACATAATCACACCCACTTTTCAAATCAAGGAACTGGGATTAAAGAGGTTAAGCAATTTAAATTAGCCACACCTCTGGTAGGTGGTAGAGCTACCCAGGCCTGCCCAAACACAGAGCTCATAATTGTAACCAGTCTTCCCAGGTGAGGAGGGGCTGCCTCCAAATGAGTAAAATGATTGCTGCAATGTTTGTGCTCCATAGATTGTCATAGATTTAACAAGCTTTTATACAGATTTAAGAATGTTTTCACAGAAGCCTCCTTGAATGGATTCTAAAACTGCCATAGAAATATTCTGAATCTACATGTTGCCAAATATTAAGTTTCTTTTGATCATTCCAACAACTTGAGGCTTAATCAGATAGTGGGGTGGGCAAATTGGTGTGGATCTGCAGAAACCTTCCTCCTAGCCCCAAGAAGGTTCCACACAAATTGCTCTGGGTTTTTGGGTGGAGGGAATCTTTTTAGCTTTAGGCAGAGCCAGTCTCTCTGGGCCTTGCCCACTGGGTATGCCCCACATCTACACAATGTTGGTGCTTCAGGAATCCTGAGACTAAAATCTATTGAACTGGATTCTGCCATTGAGTAGCTATGTGTAGAGAGGGAAAGTAAAATAGAACATTCATATAATTGCTAGTGTAAGTTAAATGAAATAGGATAAAAGTGATTCAGAGTCTGAACACATGTACTGATTTATATGGATATAATCTATCCTATATTTTGGTATATAACTGGCTTCATTCATGTATTTTTCTAGTAAGTGTTCATTGAGCACCTGTTGGGCCCCTGATACCGTGTTATGCACTGAGGTTACAAAGAGATCTAAGTATATCAGAAGTCCTGAATTCATGGAGCTTTCAATCCATCAAAGATAAAGACACTCGATTACTAATTACAAGAGGAGTGGAATCACAGAAAACATAAAATAGAAGGACCCAATCCAAGGAATTTAGGAAATTTTTTCTGAAGAAAGGTTTCTTAACCTGAAGTCTGAAAGAGCGAGGATAGTTAGGAGACCTCTGCAGTTTCATATTTTACAAAGAGTTTCTATATGTAACAGCTGTATAGAATGAGGTCCTTAACCAGGAATCCATATAGGCAACAAGGAATCTGAAACCCTGAAAGTGCATGCAAAGTCATGTTCATGTGTCCATATGCCTATACATTTTTATAGTTCTCCTCAAATTCACTGAGGGATCCTTGACCTACAAATGTTAAGAACTACTGCTCTTGAGTCTGTGGTTTTACAGCTGGAGAGAACTTGGGGAATGCACGGCCCAGAGGTTCCTATAAGCTGTCCTGGGGCAAGTGTCCCTTCGGCCTGATCCCTAACTGAAGGGGGCCCAGGAATCTGTATGTCTAAGTGCCCAGATGATTCTGACGCAAGCCCAGGTTCTGGAATCAGTGCTCTGGGCCAGTGGTTGTCAAACATTAGGCTGGACCAGAATTTCCCAATGAGTTTGTTGACACACAGATCACTGGGCCCCATCCTCAGCATTCCCGGGTCAATAGCTTTGGGGGGAAACCTGCATCTCACAAGTGCTCAAGTGGCACTGATGCTTTTGATCCTGGGCCCAAGGCCATTCTAGCCCAGTTTCCACACTACAGATAAAGAAAGGGAGAACTGGAGACGGCTGGTTAATTTCTCTAAGATACCGTGGTTAGCTGGGAAAAACAAGGAATTTCTTGTCTACTTCTTCCAGTATCAAGGAATTCATTTCTTCACGTTTTACTTTTGGATCGTTGGAAATATAGTCATATAAAACTGAACTTCAAGAAAACCCCTGCTTTCTCCACAGAGTGAAATCATCCAACACCAAGGCTATCCCCATGAGGAGTATGAAGTTGCAACGGAAGATGGGTATATCCTGTCTGTGAACAGAATTCCTCAAGGCCTAGCGCGACCCAGGAGGACAGGTATGGCCCACCTCTGGCACCCCAACACTGCAGTCTTCCCTACAGTCAACTTCCTTGTGATCTGAGCATGTGTAAGGGCGTCTGGGCTTTGGGTGCAGACCAGGGCCCGTTGTTCAGGCCAGAGATGGCTTTAGTTTTCCCATTATCGCCATCACCACCATCCCATCCCCAATTATCTTCAGCAAACAGGTTTGCTTTTCAAAAAGGACCTTCAAGAAAAGTCCATTTCCTGACCCTTTCTAGCATGTAACCCATTCCCCAAGCCCCTCCCATATAAATATTCTAGAATATCCACTGATAGTCTGAATAGACCCATCAACCCCTGCCCAGGAAGAACATAAAACTCCAGTATGGTGCCTGATGCCCACCCTGGGACACTCTATGTTCCCCATCCAAACAAAATTAAATATTTAAGATGTTCAGCTTTGCACTGAGGTCTTTTTAGGAATTAGGCAATTTATATACATTTTTAATTTTTAGCACATATTTCCATAGTTCACATAATCCCATTTTTTTAGGTGGGGTTTTCAGCTATTGCTGGCTCTTAAAATGTTTTACTGATTAAAGTGCATCCATCCTCCATCTCCATTTGGCTCTATTCCTTTTGGTACTCTAGCTCAATGTTTATGCAGCAACTGCATTATCTGTCATGAGTACAGATGATGTAATTTCTTACTGTGTTCTTTCTATATGCTGGGTACAATGCTAAGTGCTTTATTTGCACTAGTCTCACTGAGCTTTCACAATACTAGTAAGAAATTGCCACTCACAGAGGTTGAATAACTTGCTAGAATGTTGCAAAATCCATATTCAAATCAAGATCAGTCTACCACTACAGCCCAAGTTCTCAACTAGGACCAGAAAGCGCTGGACAAATGCTATGGGTCTTTGGTGTAAAGAAGCTTCATGGTTCTGTTTTATTCCAATCTGTACTTGTCCAGCTTTTTGAAAACCAGCTGTTTTTTACACCAGCTGCACAACTCTGCTTTGTACATACCCAGCAAGCTCCCACTTTGGTGCCTTCGAACTTGCAGCTCTCCCCTGGACCACTGTTTCATCACCTATTCACAGTTTGCCCTGGTCCTTCCATCAGGCCCCTCTATCATACTCTTCCCCTGACCATACTGTTCAAAACTAGCAACCCCTTGCCATCTATTGAGGTCTACCCCTTCCTACTTACTTTTTCTCATAGCGCTTACTACCTGATATGATAGATATTTGTTTATTGATTGATTAACTGTCTCCACCAACCAGAATGTAATTCGGAGTTATCTATTTTGTTCAAGGCTATGCCCAGTACCTAAATGAGTGCCAAGCACATTGTAGGTGTCAGTAAGTATATGTGGAATGAATGAATGAATTTTATATTAAAAGTAAATAGCCTGGAGACACAGAACTTTTCACTAAATCTCACAAATCCTAGGAGGTAAACAAGGCATGGTTCTTCCAAGAAATCTAGTGACCGCAGCACCTCTTAAGTTCAGGGGCTACCTGCAACCCCTTATTTATGGATGGAGTTTGTCTTCCCACATCCTGTTTACTTAGACTGCACGTGCATCCCCGGGAGTGTGGAGTTGAAGAGATCAGCCTTCTGGGTCCAGGCAGTGCATAACACCCCCCTCTAATGGCTGGTGCTGGTCCTGCAGCTCGCACTGGCTTCCTCAAAGAGGAAATCTGGCCCTGAAGAAAAAGAAATTTATCAACCATCTCTTCAAAAACAGCATCAATTAAATTCATACTGAAAACAACTGAAAGATGTTTATAATCTTGTGACCAAAAAAAAGCCTGTTTAAAATCTTACTTTATCAAATAATCATTGTTAGCTTCAAATATTTATATCAAGAGAGGAAATAATCTGGGCTCCTCAGAAATGACAACTTTTTAAAGAGTAATCTCACACACTCACCTGCGGGCTATAATTTAAATGAAAGCCCATGACTATAGGGGATATTTGAAATGACAGAAGTATTGATAAGCCAGCTCTTTCACTAAAAGAACTGCAAGTCCAAACTGTACAGCTAAGCAAAGTGAAGCTGGCCCCAGCCATGGGAAATGTCCCAAAGATTCCAAGAGGAGCATTGGTCCACCTCGGTCTGGTCACTGCACTTTGAGGTCACCTCCCTGAAGGCTGAGAGTGTGAACTCAGTGACCAGACATAAAGGAAAACATACAATAGCCTTGAGTTACTTTCTCCTAGTCACCAACTAGCAGCCCTCAAATTCACTCCCCTGAGGGATAAAATGAGCAAAGGGAATTCATGATACTGTCCAGATATTAGATGAGTCTGCTGCAGGAAGGCCCTCATCCTGCAGGGAGACTGCATAAGGACTCAGTTCATCGAAATATGAGCTGCTGCCTTATAGGAGATCAAGCAATGCTTAATACACTGCATCTCAATTAATTCCCCAAACACTACGAGGTGGGCAATTGTATCCTTGTTTCACTAATGAGGACACTGAAGCTCAGAGCATCAGTGCCTTAGAAAATCACAGCATGAATAACAGCAACAAAGCTGCTCTTTGCTCCAGTCCTACTCTTAAGTGCTGTGGTATGGGCATTACGCCCACGATCTGATCTAGTTTCCACAAGTCCTATCAAGAACATGATGTTTTTCCTCCTAAAGTTGCATTTTCTTCATCTTTCAATAGTATTTGCTAATGTCAGAAATGATGTACTTACCTTAATTTGTGTAACATGTTAGAATTTCTAAAGCCTTTAATCCTTCTTTATCCCCTACTGATATTTTTATAAATAGTATTTTGGTATTATTTCAAACTTAAAGAAAGTTTCCAAGAATAGTAACAAAGAACTGCCATCTACTCTTTATCCTGATCTACTAGTTGTAGATTACATTTTGCCCACACTTATTTTATCACTCCTTCTCTCTCTGTCTCTTTTTCTGTATCATATTATTTTCTCAAAAACCTTTAATGGTAAGTTTGAGTTATCATGCCCACTTACCCCTAAACACTTAAGTATGTATTTCCTAACACTGGAGAGGGGAAAAAACCTTTTTTCTGCTACTCTTAGGTCTTAGGGCTCCAGTCAGAGACTGGCAAAAGAAATTAATAAGAGAAAAAGAAGCAGAGGTTTATTCACCTGGGCACAACACATAGAGATGGGAGCCCTCAGAAATGATAACTCAAAAGGGTATTTAGGATTTGAGGTCCATGTACCCAACGTAGTAGTGGAAAGGGGAAGGAGAAAAGGTACTTACGGAAAAGCAAGTAACTTTTGGGAAAGATCAATGGGCCCTTAGATGGGATAGATGGGAGACATGACAGTTAGTAACGATCTCTGGTTATGGTGCCAATTTCTCATCACTGGGAAGAGAGGATTAGAGCTGCTCCCTGGGAAGGAGTTTATAACAATCGAGTTATTTGTGGGGCTTTACTTTTAGGCAGATAAGGGATTTCAGGAATTCAAATGCCTTCAGCACAAAATAATTCTTATGCCAAAGTGGCATATCTTGGCTGGGGGTGGGGTTGGGGGTTCTAATCCTGATCCCTTCACTAAGACGGGTATTCTCTTCTATAATCACAATGCATTTATCAAAATTAGAAAACTAATACTGATTGACAATAGCATTTACTCCATGGTCCATATTCAAATTACCACAATCAGGTTAGTCAACACATCCATCAGTTACCATTTTATTTTGTGTGTGTGTGTATGTGTGTGTGCAGTAAGGATGCTTTAAATCTACTCTCGTAGTGAATTTTAAGTATACAATACAGTATTGATTATAGTTATCATGCTGTACATTGGATCTCCAGAAATTATTCATTTTACAGCTGAAGACTTGTATCCTTTAACCAGTATTCCCCCTAACCCTCAGCCCCTAGTTATCACCATTCCAACTCTGTTTCTATAAGTTCCTCTTTTTTTTTTTAATAATCCACATATAAGTGAGGTATATATGTTTCTATGCCTGGCTAATTTCACTTAGCTTAATGTCCTCTGGTTTCATCCATGTTTGTCGCAAATGGCATGATTTCCTTCTTTCTTATGGCTTAATAATATATACATATATATATATATATATATATATAT